CTTGAAAATACAACAGAGAATAAACTGCCCAAATACCCTTAAACAAAGGAAAAGTACATCCTTTATGAAGGCATAGAGCTTTTACTACATGAAAATGAAAATTAATGAATACACTGTGTACAGTAATTTACCTGATAAGACAGACCCCAGAAAAATACTTTATGAGGCATAAAGCTGTCTATAATGAAAATTAATTAACTAAGGATTTTTTTGCCCTGCTAGGGTGTGGCCAAGTTATCCAGACTGCCGGGTTATCGAGTGCCGAGTTTTCGAGAGACTACTGTATATGAAAGTTTATTGATTTTTGTATTTAAACTTGGTGAGTCATACTTAAATTGCCTGTACAGTTTACTTTGACTTGTGGAGAAATAGTGAAATAAAAATGGAGAATTTCTAATGGGACCACTTTGTATAAGCATTTAGATAAATAAAAATAACAATTTTTTTTATTGATATCAAATTTATAACTTTATTAAGAGATATGACAATCAATAACTAACCTTCTTTTGATTTTAAATGGAATTTCTTCAGGAGGATCATCATCATCATCATCATCATCATTATTATTATTAGATGACACTGATATATTACCATCACCTGTTTTTTCACAATTAACTTTATTCTGTCCAGAATCAGTATTTTCTTCACAATTTGTTTTATGCTGTTTCTCAGAAGAAGAATCATTATGATCGGCAGATTCAACTAAATTCAGTTCACTTAACCTATTCTGTACATTTGTAAATTTCTGTTGAATATTTGTTAAGTTTTGGCTTCCATAAAAAGAAGTCACAAATTTCTCATAATGAAGTTCGTATATTTCTTTACAGTGACTGTCCCAGATATCTTTCCATGGATTATGAATGCTATCTATTTTATTATGTGCAGAATTATCACTTGATTCTTCAGTGTTTTTGGATAAACTTTCACATAATAAATCATTATTTGAACCATCTGAAATTCTTTGATCTTTTTCTGACTCAACTAATTGTTCATTGTTAGAGTTATATTTTGAATTCAAATTATTTTCATAATTTGGATCTATAAAATCTTTATATTTTTCTACCCAACTATTCCATATTAAAGTCTCTCCATTAGTAGACCAATATATTTCCCATTCTTGAATTAACTTACTTTGATGAATTTCATCTGTAGAATAATCATAATTTGTTTCTTGATGAAATTCATTTAAATAATAATCATTGTATTTTTCTTTCTTCATACACTGACAACTATTTGATTTTTTCTTCTTCATTTTTGCAGAATTCTATGAAATATAAAGAAAAATTATTATTATTATTTTTATAACATTGATTTCCATACATTTCGCATTCACAATGACAAAAATAGCAATCATAATAATACTTATTAAAGAGTATATTATATATTATTAGAAAATATCTCAAAGTAAAAAAATTAAATCAAATAATTTAAAACTTTTGGAAGAAAAAGTCAACTCAAGTAGATTCAAATCCACATCTTACACAAAGATGCTATTATGCAAAATAGGAGGATTAATATTCTTGTATTAACATTCATATAAGATATCAGCCTGTCTATCTTAGTCTAAATTATATTATTAAAATGATATAATAGGAAATGATGGTTGTGTTAAAGGTGACGTTTATGGTCGTCGTCGAGGCTTTACTAGGATTTTGCGTGTTAAGAGGAAGAATTTTGTAGATTCGAATAAACATGGAATCTCTGTCGACACCGGGAGAAAACGGAGGGAGGTCATACTGCATTCAGAGGGTTCCTCTCGTGTTTCCGTGCAAGGCGTATCCTACCCAATTGGCAATTATGGATAAATTAATAAAAGGATTAACCAGAAGACAGAATTGCTTAATAGAATCTCCTACAGGGACAGGAAAGAGTTTGGCTTTGCTAATATCGTGTTCGGCCTGGTGGAGAAGTTTAGCTAATGATAATACCAGTGAAGATTTGATTAATTAATAACCAAATTATAGTCAACAGAATCTAGCAATTCAATAGATGATTACTAAAACTAATTATGAATAAATAGAGACAATTAATTTAAGTTAAAATTCTATGTAAAAGAATGATCGCTGTTTTTACCTGTTTACCAAACTGAATTGGTAAACCTAATTCTAACATCAATTTTTGATCTTCTAGAACTTCTTCCATGTATTCTTCTTCAATTTCACTACGTTCCAAGTCATGTCCGCTGTTTGGGTAACTTCTTGTGTCAAAGTTTTCATTATTAAAATTTTCACATTTGCAGTAAGTATTTTTAGAGCAAATATCATTATTTTCAATCAATGAAATTGAATTTTTTAATTTTGCAAGTTTACATAATGATGATAATCCCATCTTGTATAAATCAGTATCCCTAGAGAAAATAAACTTACAATTATATACATATACTTAATTTACTTTATTTCAAAATTAAACTACTAATAAAATTAGAAAATAATTTATATTTTAACTATCAAATGATTAAAAAAAAAGAAAATATTCCTATATATTCATTAAAAATCCCTTATGCTTAAAACCAAAATACACTGCTGGCCACTAAAAATGCTACACCAGTAAATAAATCAAATATCAGAACCATATTTATTGTACACATACAGTATAATGTGAGGGAGACATAATTAAATTGACAAGTAATTTTGAGGTACAGAGCATGCAGAAATCAGTACCAAGAGCAGTTGCCTCTGGCAGCATTAACAGCTGTAATCAGGCTGGGCATTGAGTCAAACAGTTTGGCTGGTGGGTTAAACTCTATAACAGAGTTCATCTATTGTACTTATTGGCAAGTGGTGGCATGCCACTTTCTCGGCAACCAATGACCAGATGTTCTCAATTGGTGACACATCGGGGGAACATGATGGCCGCGGCAACAGTCAAACACATTCTGTATTCAGGAAGGTCAGGACAGCATGGGCAACAAGCGGTTGTGCATTGTCCTAATGAAAGGTAGCGTAATGGAAACTTCAAAGATAGGACACAGCAACAGGCCTTAATTAACACATCACAAATGTAACAATGGCTATCTAAATTATCATTCATGCAAACAAGAGGTGACCAGGATTGTCATCCAATGGCACACCATACCATCTCTCCAGGTGCTGGGCCTGCATGATGACAATGAATGTACACTGGCAACGATTGTATCCCTCAATGCCGCCGCACATAGATATGACCATAATGATGCAGTATGCAGAATTGGTCTGTTTTTATTACTAAAAGTTTTTTATATTTTTAATTATTATAAAATGGCAAACACCTTAATTTTGAGGACAGAGATGGGTTTATAAAAAATTGTAAATGCTAATAACAAGTAAAATTGTCATGAAGTTCAATCCTACTTGAGATACGACACATAACCACTTTTGCCTCCCCACCCCATTGACCTTTAATCACCAAAATTTAATAGAATGAATCCCCACACACCTCCCTGCAAAATTTCAGAAATTTTGACAAAAAGCACAGGCGTTATTAAGTTTCAGAGGGAATGAACAAAATCGTGCCCCCCACACATTAACATTCATATGTACAGAAAAAATGTGAGGACCCGGAAATAGCCCCCCAAAAGGGAAAGATATAAAAAAAAAGTTTGTTAAGTTCAATCGTCAAGAAAGCAAATTATATAAGTGTCGAATCAGCGACACCGGACTTTAATGTCAGAGCTCATAAAGAATAACGGGAAAAACAAAATTTTAGAAAATTAAAGAAGAAAATTTAAAAAGTTAAAACGCAGTTTGGAAAGTAAAACGAAACTAGAAAAAATATTAAAATGAACGTAGGTGTCATAGCCAACTATTAAACGCGATCAGAGTTGAAAAGATGGTGTTGGATAAACCATCTACAGCCGATCTTTCTCACGAACTTTATGAAGCTCCATTTACACCTGGAGACAGGTGAAAGATCAATTAGAAAACGGTGATGTAAGGTCTATCCAATTAGCAAGAAGCATATCTTGAAAAACCTATAAAAGCACCAATTCCAAGGACAACGAGACTTCCACTAAGCTTCCACTAGACTTCTTTTGTGTTTGTGTATCTCAGTTTTTTTCGTGCATTCTTTCATCTTTTGTGCATTGACTTTCAAGACTTTGAACTTTTTGTTCAACACTGTCCAGGGGCTCCTATGATGCTGGACCAGATCGCCACCGAAAACTCCTATGCCGCTGGACCAGATCGCTGCCGAAACCCCGACGACACAAGACCAGAATCAACGTACAAATTTCCTACAACACAGGACCTTTCCAACAAGAGAATTTATGTAAGCATTATCGTCCGGAATAAACAGTTTGCCTCTCTAAAACACTTGTCTTTGCTGCCTTTAAAAACCACCACCCACATACGCGTAGACCTTAGACCAGTGTTTCTCAACAGGGCGATATTGCCCCCATGTGGGCGTTTTTTCCATGTTCAGGGGGCGATTAGTAACAATTTATATTTTGGTGGGTGAAAAACAATTTTCTGGGCGATATAGTAAAACATTATATTAAGAATAATTAGATATTTTATTCATTATATCGTACAATAATTAAACAAATAACAGTCACTAATAATTAAACAAATATAGTCACTAGTCTATTCAATGCAGTACGAATTTGGAGTTAGCCTTGTCCCTTGGCATTGGAATTTTGTAGTGAAGGGGGCGATACCACGTAACAATTTTATTGAAGGGGTGATACTACGTTGAAGGGGGCGATGATTCGTTAGAGGTTGAGAAACACTACCTTAGACCATCCCGACGGTAGGGAATAAAAATCTCCCCCAATCAGCGTTCTTAAAAAAACACCCAAATCTTTTTGCATTTCTCAATGTTTCAAAGTGCTAAGTCCAAAAATGTAAAAAATCCTAGGGTGGTCATTTTTTGACCAATTGCAATTCTTTCCCTTTGTTATATACAACAGAGCCAGGAAAGTAAAAAGAACTTAAAAGGAAACCTTTAAAGGATAAGTGCAGTCACCAACACAATTTCACTTAAAAATTCTACAAGCTTATTTAAATTTTCAACTGAATTTTGAGCTTTCAAGATCAGACAAAAAGTAAGCACAAGATTATTTTTACACTACTGTCTCTATTAAGCACCAGACTTCATGTAACTCTTGACTAAATGAAAAGCAATGTTAAGTACGTAATACATTATATATTTAAAATAATATATTATAATCCGATAATTCAGCAGATTGTCTTCCAAATTATCGGATTATATTAAGGCCAAGTTAATAATTAGATATGAAGTAATCTGTCTAGTTGCAGGCAGTTAAGCCATCATCTTGTGATAATTTTAATAATTATATTTAAGTTAATTTCAGTTTAGAATTTCTGGAAAAGAATTGGTCTGAAGCAGGATTCAAACCTGCAACTTCTTCTTACCATGCAGATGCATTGCCAGTTATGATACTCAAACCGCTGCCTATTATTTGCATCCAGAATTATTAATTTAGATATAATGATTTAATATAGGTCACTCACGACACCAGCTGGGAATGACTCAAGTGCCCATGGCCCTCATCTAAGGACCTCAGCCAGCTATTGCTTTTACTCCAGCATTATGTATATATAAACTATAAATCATTTAGGTGTAAAACAATATAAACAGTAGCATTTAATATTTATTTAAAAATCTTTGTAACAAATTAACATGTAAAATTTGTAAAACAAATAATGTCCTGGGATATTCCAACATACAAACTCCTAATAACAAAATCCATTTGTTTCAAAAAATGTTAAAGAAAAGTTTTTGACTTAGATAATCTTATTAATAACTTGTTTTATAAGAAATCATTACATTACTTAAACAGTAAGTAATTTATAAACAACATTTTAAAATATAATAGAATCTGTTTATTGTAATCACTCTGGAATTCATATAATAATGATATGCAGTTGATAATAAGTAGGATTGTGTGTATAACTTAAGACTATAATTAGTGGAAATTCTGATTTTATTGAATCTGATATTAAAAAGAAATGTTAAAATAATTTTTTGAAAATGTATAACTTTAAGATTTATTAATTATCATTAAACAATTGTAATTTTTCCAGTGTTGTTTGTCTGCTGTTTTTGCAGCATTGTCTACAATAAAATTAAAGTAAAAAAAAATGCCCACAAACCAAACTACAACTAAAATGATTAAAGCTTAGTATTTAAACTATGGTTAAGACCAATAACAATTGTGTTCAGTCACATGTTCAGGCTGATATAAAAAAAAACCAGTTTAAAACTGCTTATTTATTCAAAGATAACTGAAAGTCTAATTACAATAAGCAAAAAGTTTTATAAATTTTTTACAATCTAATTTTTTAGATTTTGGGACATGTTAATTCTGATAACATTCAACAACCACCAATAACAATATCCATGATTACAATAAATAAATTCTACTATTGTGCACTGCTAAAATTTGTCCATTATAAGCATAAAGATTCTGAAAATATTTTGTATACAGTAGACCCCCCTATAAGATGGGTTCCTACAATTACGGTTCCTATAAGACAGCGAAAAAATTGTGACGGTATCCGTAAAAAACGGTAAAAAAACTCCTATAATTACGTAAAACGCCATCAGGCAGCCGAACTACTTTCCGCCGTCCAGCTCCCACGCTACGGAGAGATTACTATCGTCTGTACAGTATTATATATAAATTAGGTACTGTATATATAATTATATATTAACTTAATTTATTGTAACTTTATTATAATTATATAGGTGACGTTCGTCAGTGTTGGTGAGTTTTTGTGAGAGCTGTTTTTTTTGAAGTATAGCGCTTTGGATATGTTTGTTTCTACAAAGAGTGTGATTCTTTACTTTGGTTTCACTAAAGTTTTTGATATATATTTATTATTACGTGTTTTATTAATAATTGGAGTTATTGAGTCTAACCCTGGACCAATGTCTCACACTCCACCTTCCTCCCCTCTTTCAAAGTCGTCCATTTCTGCTGTTGGAAAACGTCAAAGATCTCCTAGTGAACCGACTCTAAAATCTCAGCGACTAGAATCTTTTTTCCCTCCTTTGACTCCTTCCCCAAATGTACCCCAAAATTTATTTTCTTTTTTAGAGGAAAAATTTGATACCATCTTGACTAAACTTGAAGATTTATCTACTAAATTTGAATGGCTGGCAAATTTGCATAAAGATTTTGAACAATGCCTCCTTAATGTAGAAAAAAAGGTAGAGGAAATTTCTAATTTAAATACCTCATATACTGCTTTGACCTCCTATTTTTTATATCTCTTAGATTCATCGATAAATGAACAGCAGAGAAATAATATTGTTATTGCTGGATTAGATGGAAACTCGTCTGAAGTTGTGTCTTTGGCTTCAGATATTTTGTTGTCTATTAAAAGACCTAGGGGTGATTCAATTCTGGTGAAAGATCTTAAAATAATTTCAAAAAATAATTTGGTGGTGGCAAAACTTGATACTGTCTCCGATAAAAAAACTTATCTACCGAAATGTTCATAATATTCAGAAGAGGGAAGGATGTTCTAAGGTAAAGTTTTTTGATGATCTGCACTGGAGATCGAGGATTAGGAGAAAAAAATCTTTTTCCTTTTTATCAAGAGGCTAAGAAGACCGGAAAAGATGCGTTTATGAGAGCTGATTGTCTAACAATTAATGGAGAAAACTTTACGTTTGATTTATTAAGTAATAAGCTGATGAAGATTGAACCTTTTTTATCACTAGGGAAATCATCGGATCGTCGAATGGACGAGAATTAAAAAATTCAACTGTTATTCTTTATTCAGAGTTTTTCTATATGTTAAAGGTATTATCATGGAACAGTCAGGGTTCATTGTTTACTAACTTTTCTGACAAAAGTTTTGTTGATTTTATATTATCATATCATATTGTTGGCATAACTGAATCATGGATGACATCTTCGTTGAAAACCCTTCTTTCATCACTGGACTCTCAATTCTATTTCATTGAAATGTTAGCTCATAAACTTGAGGGACCTGGAAGACCATCTGGAGGTTTGTTTTTAGTGGTGTCTCGGAAACTTGGTGAGTTAGAAATTTGTCATCTCTCTGATAACTTTATTATAGCTAAACTTACATTTGATAAACATCTGTTTAGAGATCGTCCTGGGCTCTTAATTGTTCTGGTTTATATATCTATTCATAAATACGATTCATTGATTGAGTATCTTGATAGACTGATTCTGGATCTTAAAGATGTTGATGATATTTTGATTCTCGGTGATTCCAACGCTAGAATTGCTTCCGAATNCAATTGAGATTTATTAGATCGATATTTCATATTAATCGTTCGGTGCCTGGACCTGTCTTAAGATTTGAACTGGGTCGTCCACCAATGGCTATACGTTTAACAATGATCATTTTTAGATATTGGAGTAAAATTTTGGAGTTACCAGACTATGATCCTAGAAAGTTGATCTATAACAAGTTGAAATTAATAGATGGAAATTCTTCGTTTAAAACTTGGTCCTCGTCAGTTGAAGGCTTATTGAATGATTTAGGTTACTCTACTGATTATTATGCTCAAATTTCTGATAAAAAACTTTTTCTGGCTGAAATGTCTCAGTCATTAAGGGATAAATATTGGACCCAAGACATTCATTATATTGAGCAAAAGTGTAGGTTTCTTGAGACTTCCTTTGTATCTCCATGGACACCTCGATATTATTTATTATCAAATTTAAAATATAATATTAAATCTTTAATAATTCAGTTACGTCTCAACGACTATACTATTGTATTAAATAGGCGCAGAATGAATATATCTGCCCATTCTAACTGTCCATTATGTAATAGACTTTGTGACAGTACTAAAAACCATTTATTTGTATCTTGCGAAATTACCGAGCATTTAAGAGATACTTTATTGACAACCGATTTTAATATGTTTTGCTTATATGACGACAATTTAAGTTCTGATATGTTATTTAAAGTTTATAAATTTTTCTGTTATTTATTAAATATGCTAACATAACATTATTAAGTTTTATTGCTATTATCATTTATTGTTTGTGTTGTTGTTCTGTTTGAAACCATGTATAACAATCTTTGTATTATTAACGCTAAATGATTTTGTAACCCCTTTGCAAAGGCGAAAGCCATAGCAAATAAATGTTGATTGATTGATTGATAATTATATATATATACTTTCCGCCGTCTAGCGCCACGCTACAGAGAGTTTAAGCGAGTAAGTTGAGTTTACTATCGTCTGTACAGTATGTAAATTAGATACTGTAATTTTATAAATTTCTTGTGAAAGAAACATTTCTTATTCAACAGCCATAAAAATTTTTTCTATTAATGATGTCTCCAAAGTTCAACAAATTTTTTCGCAGAAAAATAACTTATCAGAAAACGCGGCTGCCGTTTGATGCGCTGCTCTGCGACGAAAACAAGCTTGAGCAATGGCGATGTCGAATGGTACACACTCAGTAAGTAATCCTACAATTTTTTGTTTATAGAGTAGTTTATACGGATTATTCCCCAAAAAAATATACGTATTTTGGAAATGTTGAGTCGAATTAGTGTAGAATCGATTAATTTTATGGAAGAAAATCTTTCAAACAGCCGTAGTCCGTAAACTTCACATGTGTCGGGCTGTGATTGGCAAGGACTCGTAAGAAATCGATTCATAAAGAACAGAACGTATCTACCGTCTTATAGGGGTCTACTGTATTTAAAATTTATTTTATGACATAACTTTGTATAATTCTACTTACCAAATTTCAATTCTTGTACAAATACATTTACTGATATAGTTATCGATAATATACTCAATAACTGCTATAATATTGAAATCTTCTGACATCATTAGTGAATCTAAAGTAAATAAAACATGCTTATCAGTAAAAATAGAGCTTTAAAAAATTAATTTTATTTGATATGATTATAAAGAAGTCTCCATGATGGAACATGAGGGTTAATGAAGCAGTAAAGGAAAAGAAAAATGCATGGAAAGAGTGAAAGGGGACAAAGGAGATGAAAAAAGACACAAGTATCAGGAGGCCAAAAAGAGGTGCCAAAAATAGTACAAGAAGAAAAGGAGAAATGCTACGATGAATTTACCCAAGAATTGCAAGAAGACATGAGAAAGAATAAGAAAAAATTGTATGGCTTGGTGAAGAGTGGGTGAAAAGATAGTTAAGACAAATATGATAAAAAATGAGAACGGAGAACTTACTAGACAAGATGAAAACATAAGAAAAAGATGGAAAGAGTGTTTCCAAAAATTATTAAATGTACAATGAAAGGCACCCGAAGAGTCAGAAGAAATTATGGAAAAACAGACTGAAGAGAGAGACAGAGGGTGAGATGATATAACACAGAAGTGGAGACTAAAGGATGGAAAGATGGACTGTAAAGATAAAGATGGGCAAAGCTACAGGAATTGATAAAAGTCATGGTGGATATAACCTGGAGAAATGTTGGCAGCATGGAAAGATAAGAAAGTACCATCTGAACAGGGAAAAGGTATTATAGTCCTAATATTCAAGGAAGGGGACAGTGTCTTGTCCATTCCTGTTCCGTGTATTAACCACAACTCTGGAATTGCCCCCTCTTTCTGTCCAATTGTGAAGGACTGGTCAAACAAGTTTTGAAGTAGGTGAAAGGACAACACTTTTTGGTTGGGTGCTCAAGGACCTTTCGATGAGAGATGAGCCAGGTTGGACATGAATTCCCTCTATTCGGAAGAGAAGAACTCCGTGGGCCAGTGAAGATCATATAAAAGCATGTGATGTTACAGTCTTTGAAGCCATAATGGAGGACAAAGACAATAGATTGCTATTGGGGGCTAGATAAGTGAAACCAGCAAGGAGATTCTACCTTTATGCTGAGTATTAGAGATCTGGAGTGTCTTTTCTGGTGGTAATACTTCTCCAACTAGAGGACATTTCTACCCACTGTCATTCAGAACTGTTCTCATAGTACTGTCTAAGTTGCCATCTCCCAGTACTGGTTTTAGCTGTAAATTTGGTATTAACATTTAATTTTAGTTTAGTATTAATACATAGGGTAAACTAAACTGTATTAAATTAATAGAATGATTGTGTATGTTGAGTTTGAGTTTGTTACTTTTGGTTATTAATTTTAGTCCTAGACAAATGGTTGGGGTGCATTATTATTCAGTTGAAATCCCCGCTGGCTGATATCCCGGGTCTTGTGAAGTATTTTATATGTTTTGTTGTTTTTAATAAATTTCTTTTATTTTGTTTACAAGGGTGTGTTAATTCTTTGTCCATAACCGATTACAAACTAATTTAACATCTCACAACAGAAAGAAATCTGAAAATTATAGAGGGATCACATTGTTACCCCAAGTTGCCAAGATTTTTGAAAGAGTTTTAGAGTACAGGATCAGAAAAGTAGTGGAACACCAACTAAAAGAAAAACAACATGGGTTCAGAAAAAACCAAACTACTATACATCTGATATTCTCTGTAAGAATACTGATGGAAAAGATTTGGGAATACAACAAAGATTTAGTAATGACTTTTATAGATATTGAAAAAGCACATGACAGTGTCCCAAGACAGATGGTGTAAAAGGCCCTACATAGTAAGGATGTCTTGGCAAAAATTATAAGTCAGATACAAGCAATGTATACCACAAGCCTAAGTTGTGTCAAAACAGGAGTTGAGAAAACAGAGTGGTTCAAGTAAAGACAGGACTTCAACAAAGAAGTGTTTTATCACTTTTGTTTGTAATCACAATGGATGAAATTCATAAGAATGTAAAAGAAAGGCTTAATGGAAAGAAGTCAAGGGCTTTACTATTTGCAGATGATTAGTACTGATGGGAGACACAGAAACTGGATGTGTGGAACAGAGAGCTAGAGGAATGGGGAATGAAGATAAGCTGAGAGAAAAGCAAGACAGTGTTAATGTTAAGGAAAAACAAACTGAATAGAAAATTATTAGAGGATGTTGACAGATTTAGATACCTGAAAACAGATATATCAAAGGATGGAAAGTTAAGCAAAGAAGTAAGTAGAAGAATACAGCAAGTTGATGGCTTCTACCAGAGTATGAGAACTTTGATCTGGAAAAAGGAAATGCCACTCAAATGTAAGAAGGGCCTTTATCAATTATACTTTGTTCCAATATTGACTTATGGAGCTGCAGCATGGACTACATCATGAAGAGAAGCCAAAGATCCATGCAGCAGAAATAATATTCCTCTGGAGCATGCTAAGTAAGACCAGGGGCTCTAGCTATGAGATTGATTTGCAAGATACGACTCATAATGCTTGATGGGATAGGTATGTCAACATCTTGCTAGAACTTCTTACTGTAGCTGAAGAGACAGGATAAGGAATGAAGAAATGAGGAAAAGAATAGGAATGAAAAATTTGGTAGAGAAGATAGAACAAATTAGACTGAGATGGTTTGGAGAAAGAGATGAAGGGGAAAGATTATATGTGTTATAATTAACTGTCATCCTCGTAATTTATTTATATTTTTAATATATATTATTAATTGCACTGTAACTAGAGGGATATTTTAAATATTTCTTTGCATACCAAAGTGGACAAGAGCCACAAAAGAAAAGCTTAATTCTGCTGAAGCTATTTCACTGAGCTAATGTTCTTCATCAGATTATTGTTGAATCCTGGATAGAAAGACAGGATATAAACAGTGTCTCTTCTACATATGTAAAAAATTAACTATCATCCCGATAACTTATTCACATGTAAGATATTTTTGATGACTAATTTTTTAAAATTAATTCTTGAAACTGCTAAAACAATTTTGATCAGATTTATAACTTAATATTCCTAGTAATAAAATCCACACCTTATATAAATATCCAGAAAGTAAAAACAAACCTTTTCGGTTTATTTCATAAACCTGATTCAGGTTTGAATTTTACTAATTCAAATTTATATAAGGTGTAAATTTTATTACTAGATAGCATTTCCAGCTGTAATCTTAAAATATAATTTTATATTTCTATATAATAAAATTGACTTAACTGTAATAACTATAATCTTAAATTATATTATTATAAATGTTATCTGCATACAACTGCAATAATAAAAGTAAAATATTTGAAAAATAACGATAAGATTCTAGTTCTAAACGAGACAGAGACCATCAAAAATTGCCTACCCTTCTATGTAGTCAAACAAGTGAAAAGCAACATGATCCTAAATATAATCGTCCAGGAGATATTCAACCCTAAAATTTTGATGATTTCACTTCCAATTATGCAAGTACTACTTTTTATAGCCAGCTGCTACAAAATAGTACAGCAGTCATGCGACTTCTTGATGATGTCAAAGTTAAATAATACAGTTTATCTCGAGAAAAATTTCTTATATGGAGAAATTTGCTATACAGAAGTTTGTAATATGGAAGTTTGACTGTATTTTATCCTACACTGGAAATTATTTGTAACTAAAAAGTATTCTAGCAATCTATAAAATTGATTAAATGGAAAAATACTGAAACTATAATTGAAAAGTTTTTAGCAGACAATCATCTCAGATGATCAGTCAGTAATGGTCACTTGGCAGGCAATCAATTGGCAGCCAATGTGACTTGGAATCCAACAACATTTTTAGAGAAATTCAGTACTTTCTGTACTGAATCTGATGGCAAAAAAATTCAGAATTTTAGGAAGAAGAGAATGAGGAATGTATTTATATAAAATAAAAGATTGGAATGCACTGAGTGAATCAGAATAAATCACACAGCAATGATAACCTTTTTTCACACACTTCATTCCCGAAGCATTACATTTTTGCACAGATTGCATAAATTGATGCTAGATTCTTCACATTATTAAGAAATAAAATATTATGTGTATCAATGTGATGTCAGATAACACAAGTTTTAACTACTGTAATCAGTTTTAAAAGCAGAATTTTGTGTAGAAGTTACTCTTAGGAATACAATTACACCTCTGAATGAGACATTTGGAACCTTATGAGAACTGTAGACTAAACCCATAGAAACAAAAAAGTCAAAGGAACCATACCTCTCTGTACAGCCCTCCGAAATCAGGCTACTTCCAGGTCGCACACAATCTGGATTACTCCGCGCACAGCCAAGACTAGTCTTGTCCGTTCGTGTATAGTTTTAGGGCAGTGTGAGGCTTGCCCCACAGAGATGTGATAGCATGCACCAAAGCGCCTTCACTGATGCGGAGCATGAAGTTGTGTACTTGAAGTATGGAGAATAGGCAGTATACCGATTCATGGTAGACACTGGCCTTGCGAAGCAAATATCTTGTGAAAGGTAGCACATACAGGTGTAGTTCCATTGACTTTTTTGCTCGTACAGGGAGTCTACATTTCTGGGGGTGGCAAATCCCTCATTCAGAGTTAATCTTACTTTTTTATGTCATTCAGTACACTGTATATAGCCTGAAAAAACTTCTACTTATGGTTTTTAGTATCTTAAGCATTATTTTTCAATTAATTTGCATAAATGTATGTAAATATATAAGATTTTACTCTTAAAATTTTATCAAATTTTCATTACGATTTTAAGAATAAAATTTTATACAAGTACGTGCAGGATGGCTGCATTAGACGTTATTTTAGTTAATTTTGCAAAATAACTGGGAAAAATTCATATTTATTAAGTTTTATAAAACATTACCTTACCATTCTCGCATGTGACAACAGACGACGAAATTTCGATCTCGCGCCATAATCCCTCTAACGGCATTTTAAAAGTTAAACAAATTACATAAAATATGATCTAGCGCATTTTTCAGAGCAAAAATTAATATAAGACACTGTCTTATTTGGCAAATTATAAATATATAATTTTTTAAATATTTGAAAAAGGTTTCGAGGTCTCTCAGCTACCAATAGCTGTAATTCTATGAAAGTGGCATAATAAATATTTCTTCCTCTTCGAGCGCTGCAATCGCTTTGCGGCGTAAGTTTACCTTGAGCGTGGGAAGAGTCGGCTATAAACATTCGAAATTCTTTTAGTATATGAAATTTTATCATTTTAAACTCAGATATTATTTTTGTACTTCTTAAAGAACTGCTTATAAATACTATTTTAACTTGGTTTTGTATATTATTTATTCGTAAATGTTAATATTTATAATTCTATTAACTGTCACCTTTATGATTTTAGACTGTTTGTTTTTTGCTTACAATTTGTGTTCATTTTTAGATATTTTTTGGGAGTTTCCATTAAGGGTAAGAAAAGGTGGTAAAAAATTAGGTAGGCCTGTATATACACTATTAATATGGGATGTCTTCGAGATACCCGAGAATTCTCTGAATCAGGAAGAAAAGAGAATGATGAGAATTATATATCGATATATTTAATTATTGAAATGTATAGAAATGTTAAACCATGTGTTAAGGTGAGATAGATTAAAGCGTTACAAAAAAGGAGAGAGGATTTAGGGTGGCTTTGACGTTTATCAAAATTAAGCCCATATCTTTTTCTATTTATTAATATTAGAGGGAATATTGTTGTTTGCAGTAAGGAAGAAGCTAGGTTATATGTTATTTGCAATTGATATTGTGTTTATTAATGAGACAGAAAGAGATTAAAGTTTGGACAAAAAAGAAGTTAGGAACAGGTTAATTTTACTTTGGTTTTGTGTAATGTTCATGTTTTTAAAGTTGTAATTTATTTAATACGTAATAATTTATTTTAACTATTTTGGTTAGTTCTCCATTATAGTCTTCATATATTTTAAATCCAAATAATTATATTTAATTTCACGTCGTTAAAGATTTTATTGCTAGTATTATATCGTACTTGATGAAACCACGCTGTAATATTTATGCTTGATTATTTTATTTGTTTACATTTTCATGAGACTGATGAGGACATTGCCTAAAATGGAACTTTAACGAACCAAAAGATAAAGATACTACTTAAACAGTGAGTGACTTGGCTTATTGTATGATTTGATCCCGATACAGTCTTACAATATTTGTGTTTATACTCGTTTTATATATAAAGCGTAATAAGATCTTAATGATTTAATTTTGCTGTTCCATTATTACTATTTTGAAGTATAATAATTTTAATTTTTATATCTATTAACTTGCTGTTATATAATTTTTCTATATCTTTATTAAATTTTTTCTTAATTTAATATCGTGATACTCGTCTTTAGTTAATTGTATATAGTTTTGACAATTAACTTGTGTATTCATTTTATTAATAAAACACATTTTTTTAATAATAACTAATTGTCTAGCTTTATCCGCTTTAATAACTGATTGATTATTCTCGAAAATTCTTTTATATTTTCTAATATTTTAATCTGTTTTAAATATATTTTATTTCTATTCTTGTTTTAAATTATGAGTATCTACAGTCATTAATTTATTTTTAAAAAACAAGCAGTTTGAAGGCCAGGCATGTTGCACACCATAGGCTAAAAAATTCGGTAAATTTCGGTATGAATTTGATTTTTGATTGAATTTGACTTTTCTTTTCGGTCTTGCAAGCGCCATTCACTTGATTGTTCAGCTGTTTTGGAGTCAAAAGGGCAGATCCATGTTTCTTCACTCGTAATCATGCATATTAAAATCTAGGAAAATATTGAAATTTACTAAAAATCTATTAAAGTAAATCTATTAAAGTAATTATGGTGTCAAGTCAAATATTATAAACAAAAATAATTTATTGGAAATTATAGAAAATATTGAAAGAGCCTATATTAAGTAGGTATATCAAATTACAGTATATACTATACTGGAAAATTGTAAATTTAAAGAAATTTTAATTAAGTTATATGAATTAAATTTAAAATGTTTGTTTTGGATTATAAAATTTGAGATATTATTTATTATCAAATTTATAAATTTAAATATATCGATTATAAACAAGGTATTAACCATAATAATTAATTAAGAATAAACTTTTAATATTTCTATTAAATCCCTTAAATCTTAAATAAATATATATATTTAATTAAAGATCACAACAACTTAGGATATATTTATTTCGTTATTTTCTCCTAATCGTATAATACACATACATATACCATTTTACTGTTTCATTTTATAATTGTTTCCAGAAGTGTTTCCACTTAATTAGGCAATTTCTACCTTGGCAGTTAACAATAGGAACAAAGTCTTTTGTGTAGATTTTGCTTTCTTTGTTACTAATCAAGTTTTTCATTTCAGTACAGAATACTCATCCGGTTGAACGGGCTTTGATGTGGTGAGTAACATTTTTTGTTTTCTGGTCTCTGGGACGGTATACATCGATAATATACAGTAAATAATAAATATATTAATTACTATGATTGGAATGGGTAGTGTAGTAAAAACATTCCAGAGGGATTATTCAAGATCTCGAAGAGAGTTTGTACGAAAAACTAGAAATAATAGGAATTGAAAGAAAACGCGGTTAAATTCCACCCTTTATACATGGGGCATTTTTTTCTAATTTTGCTCTATTAAGACACCTCTGTAATACACGTGTCCTAAACACATATAAATTTTTCGAGGCGACGCGAATAATAAGAGCTATAAGCGAAAATTTTTCGGATTATTTACCCACTCTGCACGGTGGAAGCCGCCATTATTTAATCTTGTTTACGCCGCGGAGTAGCACGTTGAACGGTGGACGCTTACAATTCGTGTCACGTGACCCGATTTCGACGTCATTCGATCACGTACCCCGCGTTTATTTGTGCAGCGAGAGTGTGGCGAAATGACGTCACGAGCAGCGTTGGCCAATTAGAAACCAGTTTCAGTGTGTTCGCTGTAAAGCGCTTTTCGAACGCTGCATACTGGACATTTCTATTTTCAACGCGAGTGTTGAAGGCAACAATTTGACGTCATCAACGACGTTCCAACTCCAGTACGAAGTGCTTAGTTCCCATAATTCCATTCTCAGCAGTGGCGTGCCTTCATTAGAAGCGTTGGAAGCGCCGCTTCCCTCGTATTCTCTAAAAAATAAATAAATATTAATTTTAATTATATGAAAATAATCGCACAATATTTTATTATAACCGCATTATGTATCTTATTACAAATTTCTATACTACACGTGGAAAAAAAAATTGCTATTGTATATTAGAATATTAGTGGCGGAGTGGAATCTTCTGTATTTTCAGATTACGAAAAGCCAGATTCGCGCACGCGCTTTACAGAGCACCAACCTCACCCGGTTTAGCCGGTGGAAGCCTACGACCTTGGGTGAAAGCTGCACACATATAAAGATTCCAATTGTATCAAGGACCGGTTCTGGGCTATTAGCCGCTTGCCCACTAGATATTTCGATTACGTGAATAACGAGTAGATTTATAATTTAACCCAACCGATAAAAATTTGTCTGTATGTTTTTATGATAGTTTTCTTTATAGTTGACAGGAGTTTTAAAAAATCCGTTAAAATATTTGATATTTTTATTCCGCTTTTTGATTATATATTACTTACGGATTTCAATGTTAAACTAGTGATATTACGATTTCGTATGTCCCATCTTTAAGGGGATGTAGAAAAAAACGTGTACAATTCTTGTATAATGTTAAAAAATTAACTGTTACTTTGGTAACATAATTTACAACTAAATTTAATGAATGAGAGAGATGCACCAGGTACAGAAAAAGCTCTATAATTTATTTTCCTTAAATTTACGATTTATATATTCATTATCATAAAAATTTGTCTTTCCACTTCTTCAACAAGACTACAAATACTCGAGTATGAAATAGCTGGTTTCGACTTATTTCTACTTAACAGTCAAAAGTTTTTCTTAAGCATGCGGCGCATGCTAAGCAAGCCCAGAGAATTCGCCCCTGGAAAATGTTATAAAAAGACTGTACGTTACTGTAGTGCCGTAACTAGGGCAGTGCCCAGGCACAGGACACAGAAATGACCTGAAACAAGTTTTGGGTCATGCATGCCATGCATGCCCCAAAAATTGGTTCTTGTGTTTGACAAAAGAAAGACACGTTGCTGCCAATCCAAATAAAAAATAACTATTTAATACAGGCCAAGTTGGTCAACCCGTAGTTAATAGAACACATACAATATTTTGTATTGCGTATACGGGTGTAGACGCGTTCTACTATATTATATGACATTTGTCGAGCCATCTTGAAACTACAACACTCGTAAGTCTCGCAACATCACACGCACAAACAAAAGTATACCTTGAGACAAGAATCTAAATTACTTAGAAGGAGGGCGCCACCACTAAGCAAATCTGTCAAACTAGCTGAGATTTACGTATAGTTCACGCTATCAGCCACGTTTATTTTGATCATTATCGTATTGTTTTAACATTGGGGGGCACTCGGAGGTTATTGTCTCGTCGTTATTTTGTTCCCTAATATTTAATTTAATTTGGTTGAATAATTTAAATATGCTCAATAAATCGAGTTAAGAGAAGTGTTTATTTGTCAGCAAATGATTTATGAATGTGGCGGCCGAATAATTGTAACCTAGCGCTGCATCTGAAAATCCAGTGGCGCTACAAAAACACGTGTGCTTTAACACATTACAACACCTGGGCCCTTAGTCTCGAGTTTTTCGTGTTGTACTCGAACTGACGTCATCGAACTCACTCGTGTTACTATGACTCACATAATCGGTAGTCTCGAGTTAGACCCTTCGAGTGAACTCGAAAGGCGAGCGGAAGTACGTCATATTCACTTGTTTACGTTTGTCGATAAGCATGATGGGATTATTTACAATGCATCTGGGTTTG